TGTCATCTTGACTGTCTTCATCCAAATATCCTTTTGGCTAATAGATTGGGAGGAAAACAGACTATTTGGAAGAGTATTCTAGTAAATAGTGTACAGTAGGAAGATATATTAGACTAAATGTTAGGAAGGATATGGAAAATATAAAAATTAATTTGACATGTATGACAAGCATTAACGCCACCTAACATGCTATATAACCTACTTATTTTATTCATGATTCATGATTCCAGTCACTAGAATGTAAGTCCCATGAGAGCAAGAGGTTTTTGTGTCTTGTTCATTGTTATAACCTCTGCAGTAGTAATAGGGCCTGACACATAAGTGAGTGCTTTTAGTAAATACATAAATAAAGAGGTTGAGTAGGAGTGAGAGAACCATAGAAAGATGGTTGTATGTGAGACAAGGACCGAATCTTGGGGACTGGGGTTGTAGGCTGCCTTGTGGTCACAGTTTGAGATGCCTTTCAGACCATCCAGGAGAGATGTCAAGGGAGAAACTAGAGAAAACTGTTTGGGGGTCAGATGGAATCTTGTCTGGTCCATATTTATGGATGGCTTATCATTGACACTGCGGGTATGAAAGAGTTGAACTTAGAGAAGGATGTGGAGTAAAGAGTGAGGAGTGCCAGGGGGTCCATGTTGACAAATCCCTTCACTGAATAGCAGGCAAGCAGAGGAGATGCTGGGGTCAATGTACAAGTGAGAAACCTGGGCAATGATGTAAGAAGGAATGCCTAGGAAGGGGATGGCTTCCAGAATGAATGAGTGGTCAGCATTGCCTCGTTAAGTGTCTAAAGTTCGTGCCACTCTTTATAAAATGCAACATATTGATGTACTGTCAATCAAATGTTGATAATACATGTTAAATAATTGATCAGCTCCCAGTGACACTAAATGAATTGATTGTAAGACAGTAGGAATAGTTGAAATCAGAGAATAACTTTATTCTTGTGAACTGTTAGTTTCAGAAGGAATTATGATACAGAGGTTAGATGCTATCTTTTTGTAGTCCCAAGCTGAAAATCTAGGTCCATCCTTATATCCAGTGCACTTATTTCTTGACAAGTAACCTAATTTATTCTGTGATGGGAAGGTTGAAGAAAGAGCTGCTCCTGTGCGAGAATTCTCTGCAGGTGGAAAGTCATGTACAGGGTAGCTTTAGGTTTCACTAAGATTGAATTTCCTATTTGAAGAGGAATGTTTCACTAATTAGCTTTTATCTGTCTCCTTCAGTTGCAAATCTAACCAGTTTGTCATAGCTGTGCATTATCTTGTAAATATCTGTTCTGCTTTGAATATCTAAATTTACCTTGGATCATTATTTTGTACCAACATTTATTTTAGATTACTTTTTAATTTTCTTGCCATCTTTATTAATAAAAGATAATAAATATTTTAGTTTTACAATTATAAAATATCGTATACAGATACTACAAATTTAACATAACTGAAAACTCAATAATATTTTCTAGCAAGTTGTGCTTTTAGAAGCAATAGTAGGCCTATTAAAAGTCTACAATAATACTCTTATTAACATTTCATACTAAGAAAGAATTGCAGTGTGTTTCTGCACACGGATGTGGCAGAAGTCATTTTCAGTGCTTCTTCCACACAGAGGCATTTTGGGTGCTGTATTTGCATCTTGTGCAGTTCCATGGCTGATTGTTCAGGACAGAATTCAGGCTGCCAGCTGTTGTTCCACTGCTCTCGGGTGCTGGTGACTCTTGGAGAAGTGTTGCTAATCCACCATGCCAGCCCTTTCTCTTCGAGAGTTTTTCACACGTGTACTGTGATTCTGAAAACCATGTTTCTTTCTCAAATGGAAAACTTGGGAACTCACTTATTTTACATGTGTTCCAACTCCTGTAATAGGTATGCACAGCTAATTTTGATCTTGGGCTTGATGTGGTAGCATTTTTGAGCAGAGAGTTACTTGCACACAGCACATTTCTGCAACGTTAATGAAGTCTGGTGTGTTTGTTAGACTCGATGCTGTAAGTTTAGACGGAAGCTATGGAAAACCTCTAGATGAACTGTAGAGAAGATAGTTTTCCTCTGGTCACTCCAATTCTCACCTTTCCCCTGAACCCTGGTTTCTTTTTCTTACTGCTATGGAAACCTTAACTTGTGCGGCTCTTCAAACTGACCCACCTAGCCTCAGACTTTAACTCACCTGCTCACCGTTTAGTTTTGTAGATGCTTTGAGGAGGAAGGAGAATGGGATCCTATAATTTCATGGCTGCAAGTGGTGGGTAGCCTGTTGGAGAGCAATAAAGAGAAGAGGCTATATGCAAATGGGAAAATAATTTCATTCTAATCACTGACAGACTGCAGCACATCTTTAAATTATAGAGGGTGTACTCGGCTTAATTAGAAGATGAGTTTCATAAGAAGGTGAAAATATTTCAATACTATTATTAAAAGGTAGTTATTATAGATAATTCTCTTGAGTAGTCTTTTTCAAATGAATTATTTAAGCTAAAGAGTAAAAGTTGAAGCTTCCCTAGTAGATTAAATTTTAATATTTTGAGCATCACAAATCAGTGTCCCCAGAAGGGGGTTCTGTGTGCAGAGACTGCACATGGTGCTCTCAAGTTTAAGTTCCCAAGTGCCCCCTGATTCTTCACATTCCACCATCCCCACATCCCCTCTGAAGCATGTTTATAACATTGATATGAGTGTCAATGGCTAAAAACCCTAAGAAACCCAAGTTAAAGGAAATCTCTCTTTTGTTAAGGGTGCTATTTTATTATCTCATTCACTTTTTCACAGTTGTTCTTTTTGCTTTTAAATTTTAGAAACGACATAAAGCTGATAATGCAGTGAACAAGAAACAGACCCAAGGTAGGAATTTTACATCTTATTTATCGTATTTGCCAATGATATTGATAGTCCCATACACACTTCACTTGGATGGAATGTAATTCAACTGAGAATACTGTGTATATCTTAACTTTTTGTTCCAGGGTAAATTGATTCTTGCTTTGTAGCATTTATTCTATGGCACTGAAACTCACATTCAAGTGGTTTACAGTGCTACTACTTCTGAAAGGCAGTGTTTTAAGTGCTGTATAGCGATGTGCTCCCAGGTGCTGCCTACAAAATCTGCAGTTATGTTGACAACATTAAGCGCTGTGGTGTGCCTTTATTTTCTTTTTGATCTGTAGGTGTCACTCTGGAAAAGATGCATAGGAAATAATCAGATAAAATGTTACGTGGGTGAAAAGTGTGTTGGAAGCACTCTGAGTTCACTATACATGCAGGTGACATATGCCCTAGAAATAAAGAAAATGACGGACACAAGGCCAGCTTCTGGGGAGGGCCTGGCATTGGGCGTAGCTCTTTTGCTACGGGTCTCGTTTTGACACAGCCAAAAACAAAATGACCTCCATGACAACCCAATAAGCCATTGTGCACTCTGATTTTTAAACAATACTTTGAAACATGCAAAGCAGACTTCCTGTCCTATCTCTAAGCTTGCCCCTCTGAGGGTGTCATCTCGCTCTGAGGTTCTGTGATGTGACAAGGATCAGGGATGCCTGCCACCATTGCCTGGTCATTGGAAATCATGTTTTCATATTGCTCATATTATTATGGGGCCCTATCGGAATGCCTGGCTGCTTTCTTACCATTAGAGGGTCTCTGCCTGCCACTCCAAGCCATGCTCTGTGAGGCTCGTCCTTTGAGGAGGAAAAGGTTTTATTATTATTACTTGTAAGTAAGGAGTCAAAAAAATCTCTCTTAAATCTGCCTCCCTGACTGAGGGCTTGGAGAAAGCTTTATAGATTACATAGGAGAAAACTGGTGTGCAGAAAAACCTGGCAGAGCAAGTCCTGAATCAGGCCAGTGTGGAAAGATTGGCTTCCGGTTGCAGATTTCTGTGTTTAAGGGACCTCTCGTTTCTGAAGGGTCTCTAGTACACCCAGCTTCCAGCACTGCTGTGGCCTCTGGTTTCACCAACTGGGTTTTCCTTCTTCCGCATGTGTCTAGGCTGTGTGATGAGGTTCTATGCTCTGGGTCCCTTCCATGTGTGTACAGCCATGTCCTAAAAAGCAGGAACTTTAAACAGTATGATCAGACCCATTGTTAATACATAACCTACAATACAAAAAAAAAAAAAAAAAAAAAAGGCAGAACAAGAGGGTTTTGTGTTTAGAGCATGAAGGGGAAACACAATGAAAGAGCAGTTTGATATCAACCAACTCTCATCAGAGGCCTTACCTGTCCATCTTTATAAGTTGAGGAAGGTGCATGTACTAATCTGAGAAATTTACAAAATATTTACCAAAATTATTATGGTAAATACAAAAAAGAAAGTTACAGCTTAGTTGTTCAGTTATGTATATAAAAAGACCCTTGGAAGCACAAGGTAAGAAATTATCACGTATAGAAGTCAAAGGGTTTAGGCTACACTATTTCAGTCTTGTTAGATTTTTTGCTCTAAATCGTGTTTCCCATGTCAGATGCCGGAGAACTTCAAAATAGGAGAGAATTGTGTGGTGATCTTGAGTCTGAGGAGGGCTTTGGGTGAGAAGAAAGGAGTGGGGAAGACATTTACGTGTGGGCTGAAAGGGACCGGAGGAAGAGGTCACTCTGAACCACAGAGTAAGAAGGCTTTGTTAAACCATTATCAGAGCGTGCACAGAAAAGAGATTCCTCTCAGAGGGAAGCAAGCACATGACTTATGAGGTAGGCTGTTGCGGGTGTTTGGCGCAGTGGGAAAGACACTGGTTAAGCAGTAGGCGTGGGAGGTCAGTTACCCACGGGGCACCTGCATTCCATATTGGTGTGGCTGATTCGATTCCCAGCTGCTACACTTTCAATTTCACTTCTTCCTAATGTGCACCCTGGGAGATAGCAGGTGATGGGTCAAGTACATAGGTCATTGCTAGCCATATGAAAGGCCTGGATTGAGTTCCTGGCTCCTGACTTTGGCACTTGGCCCAACCTAGGCTGTTACAGGTATTTGAGGAGTGAAGCAACAGATGAAAGATCTCTCTGTATTTCTCTACTTTGCAAACAAAATTAACATTAATAAATGTTTGAAAAGATGCTGGTTAAAATATCTGTATGCCAACAAATATGGCTGAAGTGGTTGGGTCCCTGTCACCCATGTGGGAAACCTGCCTGAGTTCCCAGATCCTGGTTTTAGCCCGGCCAGCCCTAGCCCTTGTTGGCATTTGGGGAATGAGCCAATGAATGGGAGCACTGTCTCATGTCTGTGCTCTGTCTCCTTCTCTTCCCCATTCCTTTTTCTCTTCTCTGTGCCTCTCAAATAAAGTGAAAAAAGGGTGGACTAGGGTCAGATTTTCAAGGGACTTGAATGCTAAGCCAAAGGGATTTCAACTGAACTTTAGTATACTGAGTAGTTGTCGAAGGTTTATCTGCCAGGAAGAGGATGAAGGTTGCAGCTTAAGGACAGGGAACAGAATGAATCAGGGTATTGAGCTGTTAGAAGCCCAGAAACACAGCTGTTCCAGGAGCTTAGATGTGATGGGACACCATGGGAAATGAAAGGGGATAGAAACCCAGATACGTCAATTCCTGTTTTTTTTGGCAATGTGAAGTTTTTTCACTTGTTGCCATACTACTCAGAATATTCAGTAGCAGTTTCTGAAACAAAAATACATGTTTTTTTCTGTAACTTATACTATATTTTATAGCAGAAGGATCCTGCTATAAGGACTGGCAGTTACTTATTTTCAGTCCTAAACTGCAATGTCAGGCAGTGCAGTTGAGATGTGACTGTTATAGCCTGGATGATCTGAGGCCACTATTCCGCATACTGACAGGTGCTCCGAGTTTCTAGGTACACACCAACTTCCAAAAAATACTCCCTTTCATTAACATTCAGAGCAAATACTTGTTCTTGGCTACCAATCATGGTTTTCCAATTTCCTTCATAGGTTAACAGGATTAGCTTTATGATTAAAAATGATGGTGGGGGGAAGTATGTTTAAACCTTCTTTCAAAAATAAAGTATTACAGAGTTCAACCAATGGTACTAGAACAACAAAAAAAAATACTAAAATGGATAAAGTATTACATTGTACATCAACAGCAGACCCATAGAATGGCAGATGTCCTAAACAGCACTCTGGCCTCAGAATCAGCCCTTAAGGCATGCGGATCCAGCTGAAGAGCCCATGAGACTATTTCAGGCATGGAAAGCCAAGACACTCTGGGGGGGGGGGGGGGAACAACTAAATGAAAGATCTCTGCGAGTGAGATCCCAGTGGAAAGAATGGGTCATCAAAGAAGGAGGTACCTTTCTCTGAAGGGAGGAGAGAACTTCCACTTTGACCATGGCCTTGTCTAAATATGATCAGAGTCAGTGAACTCAGGGGGCTTCCATAGCCTTGGCAGCTCATGACAAGAGCCTAGGGTGATTACTGATGCCATAAACAAGAGTGTCAATTTGTTAAGTCAACAACAGGAGTCACTGTGCACTTACTCCTCATGTAGGATCTCTGTCCTTAGTGTGCTGTACATTGAGATTTAATGCTATAACTAGTACTCAAACAGTATTTTTCACTTTATGTTTCTGTGTGGGAGCAAACTGTTGAAATCTTTACTTAATGTATGCTCAACTGATCTTCTGTATATAAAGAGAATTGAAAATGAATCTTGATGTGAATGGAAGGGGAGAGGGAGTGGGAAAGGGGAGGGTTGTAGGTGGGAGGGACGTTATGGGGGGGAAGAGCCATTGTAATCCATAAGCTGTACTTTGGAAATTTATATTCATTAAATAAAAGTTTGAAAGCAAAAAAAAATAAATAAATAAAGCATTACAGCTTAACATCTAAAAAAACTTCAAGTTGTAGTCAGAAGAATACTTGAAAATAACATTGTGAAAAAATTATGGCTTTTATGTTTTTTAGGTTAACGTTCACAATTGTTCTCTGAGAATAGTATCTTTTGTTCCTTTGCCTGATTTGGGTTTAGACTGTCCTCTTGCTCCGCAGTTGATAGGAAATAATAAAAACGTTTGAGTAGGATACTGTTTGCCATCAGATAAGTCAACTGCTTAATAGGAAAACCATCTGTTGTCATTAGACCAGAATGAAATTCAATTTGCTTTCCTGAATTGAGGCAGCCATGGGTGTGTAGGAGTGGGAAGAGGGGTATTTTTGACAGGTAATTACTTTTTGAAAGGCATTTGAAGTATTACTTAAATTTTCATTTTTCTGGATGTTTACCAAGACCACAAAATGTAGAAAAGATATCTTTCCCTCATTCAAATAGTAACCTTCTCTCTTCTTAAAGAAACAAGTATTTTCTTTCCTGATTTTCCATGAGGCATTACAGAGTAGCTTTCTTCCTCTGTCATTCATTTTCCTAGCAGTTTCAGGAATATAAATTACTAATTTCATTTCCAGTATTCTCAGCCATTTAACTATAGACTAGTGCCTGCCTGGTGCCTCATTCTCACCAATTACCAAATTCAATCATAGGTCAAATTTTGGATTTTGGACCTCACTCAGAACTTCACACATAGGCTTTACCCTTGAGCCTGTCACCACCACCATTGTGGGAAACAAGCCAATTCTTGCCCTGGAGATTTCTAACTGGGTTAGGTATATGGTACAGTGGCCTGGCAGATGCAAAATAGTATATTGGTTTCCAAGAACCTAGTTGCAGTGGGGATGCAGAGTACATAGATGCTGGGAAGCCTAGGGGTGTTTATGAGCCTTGGTGAGTTTTGTCTACTCCTCCCAAAGAATTGTGGCTGCCTCTCTTTGCTCCTGTTTTTGGGTGTGATGGCTTGTATAGACCAGATAAGAACACTGCAAAGGGCAGGCCTAACTGTTTTCCGTATTTGTGTGCCCAGTATCTCTCAGCCT